ACCATTCCTTTTATATATAATCTATCATCACTGTCAAATTACACAAGAAATAAATACATAAATTTAATTATTTACCCCGTAATTGTTTACATTACTATTAGTATCATTGTTGGCCATCAACTAAATTTGACATGCCATTTCTATAATTTTTATAATTCATATAAGTGTTTACACCATAAATAACACTCAATCTAAAGGTGCTATGTCAACAAGATTACTCAACTGGCCCAGAGTTAATTGTTTGCAGCCATGGTTGTTATGGTGGTCTAATGCCATGTGGCAAGAGGTGGTTTAATACTTTCTTTTAATGAAATTAATTTATGATTTACTTGAATTAGTAAATTAAGAGATTTTATAGGGAAGCTCACATTGGGATGTATTTGAGTTGGATTAGGAAACTGTCAACTTAAATAGATTTTAGGATAACTACCATCCGATGTAGAACAACTTAGACACTAATAAATGGTTATGGAAAGCAGAGTGGTTACCACTGAGATCACCTTCAACAACAAGGTAAAACAATCTCCTTCCATGGAAATCAATTTTACAAGCTTGCCTCTCTCAAGAAATTGCTCAACGCAATCGTAGATCAATTTCCAAAATCAAGCAATCTACAACATTTTTTCTAGACCAAAGCTTTAAGACTAGTTTGCATATCTTCTTGGTTAGCTTTTGTTTGTTTTAATCAAGTTCAATTAGTTTCTAAAATTTAATATTAGTTATCACATTTTTATTTTAATCATTGTATGTCCTTAACTTTTTTAGGTTCTTATGAACTTAATTTACAAATTCATCAATATCAAATTTTAGATATATTATTATAGTTGATTTAAGTTTTATAATTATTTTAAATTACATTAACGTGATCATGTTTCTTTGTGGTTCAAAACTCCACTTGACTTTCAAGTTTTCTTCACTTATGTTTCTGCTACATGTTCTACAAGTAGGTTAATCTAGTCTTCAATGTAATTTTTCCAATAGGTCTGCGAATTTACTGAATTTCTATATGCAAGTATAGGTTTTGTTAATTTGCATAATTTTTCATTAATGTTTAGGTCTATCATCCCCTTAATCTAGTTTGCATTTTAGTTTAGTTTCATAGCTCCCTTTTGTGTTAGTCCATGTCTTTTAGTTGTCATGCCTTTTTTGTTTCTTTTAATTGTTTGTATTTTAGGCGTTATGTCTTTAGTATTTATTAATAAATACACTTAATTAACTTTTGATGCGAAAAGTTCTTTTGGATTTTTCAATGCATTATTTTTAACTCATTTATGCAAAAAAAACATTTCTCCTACCTACCAATCGTCTTATTTAAAACATATCTCTTTTTATTAAATTGATATTCTTTCAATCATCTAATTTAGAAGCTCACTCTTTAGAAAAAGAGGATCATCGAGCAAGTCCATTTTTTAGTTTTGTTACACAGAAAATGACATATTTAAGCACATCTAACACAGGGCAGCTAAAAGCAAGATTTTTGGAGGAACAATAAGTATCTACGAAAAAATGATTGATTGACCATCTAACAAAAGGGTTTAGCAGTGATGGTGTGTGATGGGCCGGTTTATATGTTTAAGAGCCTAGAATTCACGCGAGGACTAGAAAATTTATATCCTCAAGAATCTTTTAATAAGATGGGTATCAAAATGACAACGATGTTTCCTCTGTATCACACGCCAGAAATTGCAGAGTTTTTGAAGAAAGAGAGAAAGAGAGGTCAATTTTTCATCTTATTGCTTGTATTAAAAAGCTATTCTTCCTGTAGACATTAACAATTCAACCCTAAAGACCCAATAAGCCTTTTCTCTAGTGCCCACGAACCTAGGCAACGGGGCAATCGATTGCCAGAAATTCAAAATGTAAAATAAATGACTGGTGCCCACAAACCTCCGTAACGTGGCAATCTCTTGCGACTAATTCAAAATGTAAAATAAATGAAGAACATAATTGGATAATTAGTTGACTTCAAGGGTTGTCAACTCTAATCAATTGGTGCTATAAATAATTGGCCCTACGATGACTGGATAATGATAAAGACACCCAGTTGGCTAAAATGTGGCGCATGATGGTATGCAAGTATTTTAAGCAATTTATGGCTTTTAATCTTTACATAATTAAAAATTTGAGAGCACTTAAATATTTGAAAAATGTCCAATACAACATACCTTAGGGTCCAATTAAAAATGGATCCGGGCTGCCTTTTTTTTTTTTTTTTTTTGTTAATTTTTCAAACCCTAAACTTAGAATTTCCTTATTAAGTATATTAAGTAATATGATATGAGTATTTTAATTGCATTGGAAGCACAATTGGTGTCTTTTTGAACTATATAAAACAAATAATTAATAATTGAAAACAATGCATCGAATTACATGAATTAATATATTAACTGAAATTATTAACTCTGCCACGAAACACGTGGTATGTTTACTTGTTAGTATATAAAATTAAATCACATATTGCCATGACTTGTAAGGAATTAGGTTTAATGAAAATGATGTCTATGATCATGCATATGGTTATTTAAGTTTCATTTGACAAAACTTTATATAAATCTTTTTTACACCACAACTTATTTGAAAGGTTAAATTTATTATTTTTAATTAATTTTAATTAATCTTTATTTACTTTTACTAATTTTAATTAATATTTTATGATAGTAAAAGTTAAAAATGCCTAAAGTTATAGTACAATGCAACACAATATTAACAAACAAAGTCTTAATCAATCAACTTTGTTCCTTTTTTTAAAAAAATAATAATCAATGAACTTTTTGGTCATGACTTCTAACTTTTCCTGCCCAACCAACTTTCATATTTCAAATAAAAAGAAGGTAAGAGAAAAGCAAAACTGCCAAATTTATATGAATCATCATAAGATAAAGATAGTAACGTCGGTTGGGAAATAGTTGGAAATTAGAATAGGGAAAATAGACAAATTTGGGCTGGAAGGCTCAAGAGAATTCCAGATGAAAATGATCATCTAGGTAAATTGATATTCTTGAATTCTCTTTCCCAATGAAATGAAATGAAGAAATAAAAACTAAAAGGAAAAAAGATTAAGTAGTACCATAAACTATCATTGAAGAAAACAAAAAAAAAGGTTCAACCATGATCAGTTTGATTATTTCAATTAAACTTTAAAATTTTTATTAGAGTCAACAATATCATAATTTTATATATTATCAAATAACAAAATACATTATCATCTATCCATTAAAAAAAAATAAAAACATTATCATGATATCAACACTGAAATAAATAATTGATAATGGTGTAAAACTGGTACAAGTTTTTCCTAAGTTTTCTATAAAATAAAGTAAGCATAGTCCAAATGATATTTGAAAAAGAAATTCGTGAATTATTTGTTACCAATCTATCCGGTTCCATGATTCCATCAATTTCTATTTGGGCCAATGCATTTGCAACAAACTGGGTCACTGTATCATTGGCCCCTCAGTGCTATATGGACAACCCATAGCAAATGACAAGGCCTTTTTCAGTTTAGATTTATAGTAATATTTAGCCAACGAGTGAACGACCTTGTAATCTAGGGGTAATCTCCTTGATTACAGGATCAAATTTACTAGCAAACCCTTTATCTGAACTTAAAATTTTGGTAAATCACATGCATTTGGTACCTAAAATTTGCTGGGAAGTTTATTACGGGATGAAGTAGGAATAGCTCTAACTCTAAGCAATGGCATGAAGGGCAATAAATGAAAGATAGCTTAATCTTATGACATCTCAATTATTGATGGAATATATCAAGCTAAGCCATATAGGTTATATCAAAATGGAATGATTGAACCAACCAGGTAAACCAATGTAATTTGAGAAGGAAATGAGATGCAGTACCGGCACTTCATACATTCTCTAAGATGAGAAATTTGTTCTAACACATTGCATAACAGCAGTTACAGACAGAGCTCCGCCGCAACTTCATATTCTTTTATGAAAATGGGGGTGAATATAGACGAATCTTGCAAACAAGAGCCTAGGATCTGATATAGTCACAAGCATGTGCTCATATACAAACACAACCGGAATTAGAGTGAGAGGAAAATCTTACATTCAGAGAATCATTGCCGAGAAGACTACTGTTTGTCAGGCAGCATTCCGGTAGCCCTTTCTAGATCCATCTTGCAATTCTCTTTCAAATCTTTTAGCATCACGTAACTGGCTTGCTGCCAAACAGATTCAGTTATATCAATCATATATGAAAGTAAGACAATCATCTTCATGGTCAATATATAGAGAAAGAGCTCTACAAACTTTGCCCGAGTGCAAGCAAACTTGAACTATTACACTGAATAGTTGGTTTTAAAAATAACTCCCAAACTTGGTGGTTTTAACCAAAACCTTGTGATGAGCTAAGGGATTTAGGCTTCCTTATGTCAAACTGAGTTCTTTAGATTAGAAACGAACATAGTATTCCACACAAAGAAACTAATTTAAGGATAAGCCATTTGCATATATAAAGACAATTCTGGGTCTTAGAAAAACGGTTTAAACTTACAAGCTGGTTGCTTTCACGAACAAATATGTCCTCCATGTTAAGAAAGAGTGACCTCCACTGATTCATGAGATCTGATTCTAATTTTGAAGATTTGTCATTATTTCCCAGGCCATGAACATCAGTCTGCTTCTCTCTTCCACATTTCTGAGCCAAGATGCTTGCTTCCTTCTGACTCTTCTTCAATACTAGGAAAAAGAAATGCTACATCATGAGGAAATTTTGTAGTATGGTGAAAGGGATATATTTTAGATGGTATGGCAAAAAGTTACCAGCTAGACGACCCTTTATATCTCGGTAGTGGAGGTCAGACCAAATATTTGCAGCTGATTATCAGAACATCAAACAAATCATCCCAATTAGATAAGATGTATGAAATGTAAACTTACTGCCCAGTGCCTACTAGTACTGAAATAGCAAATCACAAACAAGTAAGGAATTGTTAGTTACCTTTCAAACAAAATGAACACGAGCATGCTTTAAGCGAATCAACATCCAAATTCATATTTGTACAACCATCGTTCTTGATCCCCACACATTTATCCAATTCAAGTGATCTTGAACTCTGCGTCTTCGGCAGCCTTGACCACTCACTAGACCCACCCTTGCCTGAGGCCAACCTACCAACACCAAGATCCTTACTGTCACTCTTGGAAACATGACTTTCTAATGCTTCACTCATGCACATACAACTTTCTTTAGTATTAGAAGCAAACCTTGGTTCTTCATCATCATTTTTCTGGTAAGTTTGGGAGCATTTATCAGGCAAACCAACAAGACAACCATCCCTTGATGTATCTTCTACATCCACAACACGTTTCCCCTCTGCATTCCCATCCAACAAATTATTAACCTCCATACTCCCATCAGAATTATTTTTCCAATCAATTGATGTAATGTTCTTGGCAGATGTATCACTACAAGTAGATGAAGAACCAGAAGACTGCTTCTCACTAGACTCTACTCTAGATAGGGTTCTACATTTCTCTTTGACCAATTTCTCAACACCTAAGCACACTTGCTTTGCAAATTGCGAGTCTCGTTCATTCTCTTCACTGTAGTGAATCCCATCTCTTGATTTTAGCCCAAAGCCACCCAATACTGACGGAAACCCTCTTTTGAGAGGGCGATTTGTTACATCTCCCAGAACAAGACGTGCTCGACATGAATCATTACTAAAATTATCTCCACTCATCATGCAATTGTAGCTTCAATGATTCACAACCTTATTTTTTGCACAAAATCTAAGAACCAAGATAGCAAATCAATTCTTTGATTTAACTTCTGATATTCAGATGAACTCGAAATCAAACCTACTACAAATCAAAAAAACAGACACACACCAAAAATCAAACAAAATCGATCAAATCAAACTAAATGTGTGTAGATGAGAATGAAAAACACAGATCCACACAAGTAAGGAGATGAGCGAACAAAAATACAAAATCAATGAAGCAGACGGCGACGAATATGAACCCTAGAATTTGAAAAGAGAAGGATGAGGGCTTTAGAGATACTTACCGGAGATGGTTAGCCGGGAAATTTTCTAGACGAGGTAGGGGAAGGGAAGGCGAAATTTGACGGGAGAGGGCGCCGGATCCAAAACCAATACGAAATAATAAAAGGCGGAGGGTTGAATTTTGTTGAGGCGGGAACCACGTGGAAATCGTAACCCGACCCGCGCCTGTACGTTTGTTTTTCTCTTTCAAATGGAGCGCGCGGGTGTTCGATTCTCATCGAACGGCTCCGGGTTTAAGTTCCCCAACTTTTAAAAAATATATATATATAGAGTAATAATAGAGACAATAAAATTTTAAAATGAAAATTTAAGAATAATGATATTGAGTCATATTATTGAATTAGTTAATATATATAATATCATAAATTTTAAAAAAATAAAAACAATTAATTATTAAATAATATAAAT